GAAATTGGTAAACAGGCAATTTTTTGTACTCAATTATTAGAACAAATGAAGTTCTTGTGAAATAGCTATGAGCTTGGTCAACTGGAACACTGGAATTGGCCGAAAATAGGGCTCAAAGTGGGTGAAATCGCCAATGCATACATATCGCCGAGACCACTAACGTCACGAGAGCATAATTCTATAAGTGTTCCATCAAATTTCGTACTTTTGGTGTCATTACCATCGGGAAAAGATTCTCTATCATTTCACAAGAATAATTTTTTTTTTTAAATTCTGACACTGAAAGCAAGTTTGTGAGCAGGGGTCTCGACAGTAAAAGGGTCAATGCCTAGTTCTATTGGTAACTTAATATATGTTAGTGTAAACTTGTTATCTGGCATTTATATGCATTTATAAGTGGAAAAAATGGTGTTCTGCTTTCTAGCGATGTCCACTTTCCAGTAGTAGCCTGTAACCTAACATGTCATATAAGTGGGGCCCTACTGTATCGTATCTGTATTCAACTGATATTGAGATTTCCTAACAATGATTTTTTTTTTATTAACACATCGGCCATTTCCCACCAATGCAGGGTGACCTGAAAGAAAAAAAATTCATCATCATCATTCACTCCATGACTGTCTTGCCAGAGGTGAGCTGACGTACTACAGTTCAATAATGCAACATATCTCATAGTGCGGATGACAAGAAACAGATGATTGCTGATGTTATGAATGAAAAGAAGTTGGATGTCCTGGCCCTAAGCGAAACAAAGCTGAAGGGGGTAGGAGAGTTTCAGTGGGGGGAAATAAATGGGATTAAATCTGGAGTATCTGAGAGAGTTAGAGCAAAGGAAGGGGTAGCAGTAATGTTAAATGATCAGTTATGGAAGGAGAAAAGAGAATATGAATGTGTAAATTCAAGAATTATGTGGATTAAAGTAAAGGTTGGATGCGAGAAGTGGGTCATAATAAGCGTGTATGCACCTGGAGAAGAGAGGAATGCAGAGGAGAGAGAGAGATTTTGGGAGATGTTAAGTGAATGTATAGGAGCCTTTGAACCAAGTGAGAGAGTAATTGTGGTAGGGGACCTGAATGCTAAAGTAGGAGAAACTTTTAGAGAGGGTGTGGTAGGTAAGTTTGGGGTGCCAGGTGTAAATGATAATGGGAGCCCTTTGATTGAACTTTGTATAGAAAGGGGTTTAGTTATAGGTAATACATATTTTAAGAAAAAGAGGATAAATAAGTATACACGATATGATGTAGGGCGAAATGACAGTAGTTTGTTGGATTATGTATTGGTAGATAAAAGACTGTTGAGTAGACTTCAGGATGTACATGTTTATAGAGGGGCCACAGATATATCAGATCACTTTCTAGTTGTAGCTACACTGAGAGTAAAAGGTAGATGGGATACAAGGAGAATAGAAGCATCAGGGAAGAGAGAGGTGAAGGTTTATAAACTAAAAGAGGAGGCAGTTAGGGTAAGATATAAACAGCTATTGGAGGATAGATGGGCTAATGAGAGCATAGGCAATGGGGTCGAAGAGGTATGGGGTAGGTTTAAAAATGTAGTGTTAGAGTGTTCAGCAGAAGTTTGTGGTTACAGGAAAGTGGGTGCAGGAGGGAAGAGGAGCGATTGGTGGAATGATGATGTAAAGAGAGTAGTAAGGGAGAAAAAGTTAGCATATGAGAAGTTTTTACAAAGTAGAAGTGATGCAAGGAGGGAAGAGTATATGGAGAAAAAGAGAGAAGTTAAGAGAGTGGTGAAGCAATGTAAAAAGAGAGCAAATGAGAGAGTGGGTGAGATGTTATCAACAAATTTTGTTGAAAATAAGAAAAAGTTTTGGAGTGAGATTAACAAGTTAAGAAAGCCTAGAGAACAAATGGATTTGTCAGTTAAAAATAGGAGAGGAGAGTTATTAAATGGAGAGGTAGAGGTATTGGGAAGATGGAAGGAATATTTTGAGGAATTGTTAAATGTTGATGAAGATAGGGAAGCTGTGATTTCGTGTATAGGGCAAGGAGGAATAACATCTTGTAGGAGTGAGGAAGAGCCAGTTGTGAGTGTGGGGAAGTTCGTGAGGCAGTAGGTAAAATGAAAGGGGGTAAGGCAGCCGGGATTGATGGGATAAAGATAGAAATGTTAAAAGCAGGTGGGGATATAGTTTTGGAGTGGTTGGTGCAATTATTTAATAAATGTATGGAAGAGGGTAAGGTACCTAGGGATTGGCAGAGAGCATGCATAGTTCCTTTGTATAAAGGCAAAGGGGATAAAAGAGAGTGCAAAAATTATAGGGGGATAAGTCTGTTGAGTGTACCTGGTAAAGTGTATGGTAGAGTTATAATTGAAAGAATTAAGAGTAAGACGGAGAATAGGATAGCAGATGAACAAGGAGGCTTTAGGAAAGGTAGGGGGTGTGTGGACCAGGTGTTTACAGTGAAACATATAAGTGAACAGTATTTAGATAAGGCTAAAGAGGTCTTTGTGGCATTTATGGATTTGGAAAAGGCGTATGACAGGGTGGATAGGGGGGCAATGTGGCAGATGTTGCAAGTGTATGGTGTAGGAGGTAGGTTACTGAAAGCAGTGAAGAGTTTTTACGAGGATAGTGAGGCTCAAGTTAGAGTATGTAGGAAAGAGGGAAATTTTTTCCCAGTAAAAGTAGGCCTTAGACAAGGATGTGTGATGTCACCGTGGTTGTTTAATATATTTATAGATGGGGTTGTAAGAGAAGTAAATGCGAGGGTCTTGGCAAGAGGCGTGGAGTTAAAAGATAAAGAATCACACACAAAGTGGGAGTTGTCACAGCTGCTCTTTGCCGATGACACTGTGCTCTTGGGAGATTCTGAAGAGAAGTTGCAGAGATTGGTGGATGAATTTGGTAGGGTGTGCAAAAGAAGAAAATTAAAGGTGAATACAGGAAAGAGTAAGGTTATGAGGATAACAAAAAGATTAGGTGATGAAAGATTGAATATCAGATTGGAGGGAGAGAGTATGGAGGAGGTGAACGTATTCAGATATTTGGGAGTGGACGTGTCAGCGGATGGGTCTATGAAAGATGAGGTGAATCATAGAGTTGATGAGGGAAAAAGAGTGAGTGGTGCACTTAGGAGTCTGTGGAGACAAAGAACTTTGTCCTTGGAGGCAAAGAGGGGAATGTATGAGAGTATAGTTTTACCAACGCTCTTATATGGGTGTGAAGCGTGGGTGATGAATGTTGCAGCGAGGAGAAGGCTGGAGGCAGTGGAGATGTCATGTCTGAGGGCAATGTGTGGTGTGAATATAATGCAGAGAATTCGTAGTTTGGAAGTTAGGAGGAGGTGCGGGATTACCAAAACTGTTGTCCAGAGGGCTGAGGAAGGGTTGTTGAGGTGGTTCGGACATGTAGAGAGAATGGAGCGAAACAGAATGACTTCAAGAGTGTATCAGTCTGTAGTGGAAGGAAGGCGGGGTAGGGGTCGGCCTAGGAAGGGTTGGAGGGAGGGGGTAAAGGAGGTTTTGTGTGCGAGGGGCTTGGACTTCCAGCAGGCATGCGTGAGCGTGTTTGATAGGAGTGAATGGAGACAAATGGTTTTTAATACTTGACGTGCTGTTGGAGTGTGAGCAAAGTAACATTTATGAAGGGATTCAGGGAAACCGGCAGGCCGGACTTGAGTCCTGGAGATGGGAAGTACAGTGCCTGCACTCTGAAGGAGGGGTGTTAATGTTGCAGTTTAAAAACTGTAGTGTAAAGCACCCTTCTGGCAAGACAGTGATGGAGTGAATGATGGTGAAAGTTTTTCTTTTTCGGGCCACCCTGCCTTGGTGGGAATCGGCCGGTGTGATAATAAAAAAAAAAAAAAAAATCTCCATCCCTCCTTCAGAGTGTAGGCACTGTACTTCCCACCTCTAGGACTCAAGTCCAGATAACCGGGTTCCCTGAATCCCTTCATAAACATTACTTTGCTCATACTCCAACAGCAAGTTAAGTCATAAAAACCATTTGCCTCCACTCGCTCCTATTTAACATGCTCATACATACTTGCTGGAAGTCTAGGCCCCTCATACACAAAACCTCCTTCACCCTCTCCCTCCAACCTTTCCCAGGACCACCCCTACCCCACCTTCCTTCCACTTCATATTTATATGCACTCCAAGTCGTTTTATTTTGTTCCATCCTCTCTAAATGTCCGAACCACCTCAACAACCCCTCCTCAGCCCTCTGGATAATACTTTTAGAAACCCCACACCTCCTTCTGATCTCCAAACTATGGATTCTCTGCATGATATTCACACCACACATTGCCCTCAGACATGACATCTTCACTGCCTCCAGCCTTTTCCTTGCTGCAACATTCACCACCCATGCTTCATCTCCATATAATTGCCTTGGTACCACTATACTTTAATACATTCCCCTCTTTGCTTCCATGGATAATGTCTTTTGTCTCCACAAACTCATCAGGGCACCACTTATCTCTTTCCCCTCATCAATATTACGGTCCACCTCACCTTTCATAGAAACATCTGCTGGCAAGTCGACTCCCAAATATCTAAACACATTCACTTCCTCCATACTCCCTCCCTCCAATCTGATATCCAGTCTATTACTACCTAACTTTTTTGTTATTTTCATCACCTTGCTCTTTCCTATGTTCCCATTCAATTTCCTTCTATTACACACCCTCCCAAATTCGTCAACCAAATTCTGCAACTTCTCTTCAAAATCACTCAAAAGCACAGTGTCATCAGCAAAAAGCAACTGTGACAACTCTCACTTTGTGTTAGATTCCTTATCTTTCTTTCCCACACCTCTTCCCAACACCCAAGCATTCACTTCTCTTACAACCCCATTAATAAATATACTGAACAACTATTGTGACATTACATATGATATTCCTGATTATAAGTATGTTACAAACACTTCCCATTATAAAAAAAAAAAACTCCTACTGTCCAAAATAGAAATGTTCTTATCTCCTTACATTCAACTGACTCAAATATACTAAAGTGTCAAAGAAAAGTAAACTGTAACTAACCTGGATAGAATCATTATGTGCAGAATGGGAGTAAACCACATCAGCTTTAGGTGACTTCTTGACTGCTTGTCTGATGCCAATGGTAGACACCAGCTTATTAGGTGTCATATTTAAACCATGTTGAGAGGTCTGCATACCTACTGACACAAGAGTTTTGAGTTAGTTAGGCTGACTAGTGCTCTCCTGTGAGATAATTCACATTCAAGTGTCTACATATGAAGAGACAATGAGAGAAGAGCTAACAAATAACACAAAATACAATGAAATAATAATAAAAAAAAAAGGTAATGGAGCTGAATATAGCTGTTGATACTTTAGGTGCATATTAACCCTTTCAGGGTCCAAGGCCAAAATCTGAAGTCACGCACCAGTGTCCAAGAATTTAAAAAAAAAAAAAAATTGTTATTTTTTCTTATGAAATCGTAGAGAATCTTTTTGTGAAGGTAATAAAACAAAAAGTACGAAATTTGGTGGAAAATTAATGAAATTATGCTCTCGCAAATTTTGATGTGTCAGCGATATTTACGAATCGGCGATTTTGCCGACTTTGACTCCCATTTTAGGCCAATTACATTATTCCAATCAATCAAATTCTTAGCTATTTCACTAGTATTACTTCTATTCTATCGATTGAGCACAAGAAATTGCCAAGTCAACTGTTTCAACTACAAAATAAAGTGATCGGAAATTGTTAATTTGGCCAATTTAACACAAAGTTCAAAATATTCCAATTTCAAAATAGGCTCCAGAATAAACAATGTAGGTATTCCTGGAACTAAACTAACATTTCCTCTGTTCATTAGTTACATTTTGAGGCTTTACAAATAAATTCCATTTTGATTTTTTATTCACATAATGAATTTTTATTCACACCAAAAAATAGAAGATTTACTGTTATGCAATACTGTAATAATTGTATAAATATCATCACCATATTTGTGAATGTATATTAGACCCACCAGCTGACGTGTATTAGATGTGTGAGGTCGTTTGTTTACTCTTGAATATCGGCAAAAATTTAACCCTTTGAGGGTCCGTCCCGTAGATCTACGGCTTTACGTTCAGGGTCCAAACCGTAGATCTACGTCATGAGCTCAGCTCACTCTGATAAACTGTGAGTGGTACATTTGGGCCTAGACATGAGAGAATACATCTATGTAGTATGTGTGCACCATATAAAACAGATCCTGCAGCACGCTGTGTAGAATGGAAGACATATTACAGAAATAAAGATGATTTTGATTGGTTTTAGCACTGGAAATGGCTTGAAACTGAGCTCAAAGTAGCACAAATGTTAAATTTTCGCCAATATTCAAGAGTAAACAAACGACCTCACATGTCTAATACACGCCAGCTGGTGGGTCTAATATGCATTCACAAATATGGTGATGATATTTATACAATTATTACAGTATTGCATAACAGTAAATCTTCTATTTTTTGGTGTGAATAAAAATTCATTATGTGAATAAAAAATCAAAATGGAATTTATTTGTAAAGCCTCAAAACGTAACTAATGAACAGAGGAAATGTTAGTTTAGTTCCAGGAATACCTACATTGTTTATTCTGGACCCTATTTTGAAATTGGAATATTTTGAACTTTGTGTAAAATTGGCCAAATTAATAATTTCTGATCACTTTAATTTGTAGTTGAAACAGTTGACTTGGTGATTTCTTGTGCTCAATCGATAGAATAGAAGTAATACTAGTGAAATAGCTAAGAATTTGGTTGACTGGAATAATGTAATGGCCTAAAATGGGAGTCAAAGTCGGCAAAATCGCCGATTCGTAAATATCGCTGACACATCAAAATTCGCGAGAGCATAATTTCGTCAATTTTCCATCAAATTTCGTACTTTTTGTTTTATTACCTTCACAAAAAGATTCTCTACCATTTCACAAGAAAAAATAACAAATTTTTTTTTTGAAAATTCTTGGACACTGGGGCACCACTTCAGATTTGGGCCTTGGACCCTGAAGGGGTTAACATTTCTGCTACTTTGAGCTCAGTTTCAAGCCATTTCCAGTGCTAAAACCAATCAAAATCATCTCTATTTCTGTAATATGTCTTCCATTCTATCAAATGAGACCAAGAAATCGCAAATACAACTATAAAAAACATACGAAAAAACACTGCAAAGTCGCTGTTTTAATCGAAAAATCATGATTTCAGTTTTTTTTCTCTCATTATACACAGTGTGCTGCAGGATCTGTTTTATGTGGTGAACATATACCACATAGATGTATTCTCTCATATCTAGGCCCAAATGTACCACTCACAGTTTATCAGAGTGAGCTGAGCTCATGGCGTAGATCTACGGTTTGGACACTCACCGTAAAGCCGTAGATCTACGGGACGGACCCTGAAAGGGTTAAACATTATTTTTTTATTTTTGCAGCAAAGAAGAGGCCAAAGATAATGTAAATATTGTTTGTGATCAATGTGCATTTCAGGTATCTAGGCAACAGGAAATTAGAATCAAAAGTTTATTTATAGGTATGTAAAAATTGTAAAAGAATTATAAAAAAATTAACAAACCGGCCGTATCCCACCAAGGCAGGGTGGCCCAAAAAGAAAAACGAAAGTTTCTCTTTTTAAATTCAGTAATTTATACAGGAGAAAGGGTTACTAGCCCCTTGCTCCTGGCATTTTAGTCGCTTCTTAAAACACGCATGGCTTACGGAGGAAGAATTCTGTTCCACTTCCCCATGGAGTTAAGAGGAAATAAACAAGAACAAGAACTAGAAAGAAAATAGAAGAAAACCCAGAGGGGTGTGTATATATATGCTTGTACATGTATGTGTAGTGTGACCTAAGTGTAAGTAGAAGTAGCAAGACGTACCTGAAATCTTGCATGTTTATGAGACAAAAAAGGACACCAGCAATCCTACCATCAAGATACTAAATATAAAAGATTTTTTTTTAACCAATCCTATTTGAACACAATATAATATGATATAGTATAAGCTTTACTTGCATTAGTTACAGGACATGGGTATGTTATTGGAAAATATTTTACACAGTAAATCATCCACTCTCTCTCAATCTATTATTTGGCATCAATCCTTATCTGGTAGTCATCTTCGCTCTAATTTCATTTAATTTTTAATAGTCAGATTAACATTTGTACAGTACTCAAATGAATCCCTCTCTTTCCTTTTCTCCCCAACCTCTTATTCCCTTTTTCCTATTTCCTTTGCTCCCTGCCTCCCACTCCCTCTCGCATCACATCTGAGACAACACTGCACAACCAGCAATGATAAGGCTGCCTCCCTCACTCTCACATGCATCTGACACAACACACTTTATATATATGCTCTTCACCCTAACGTTGTTATGGTGAGAGTATTAGGTAGCTGGGCATAATATATGGTAAAGTAGTAATAATGATTATTGCATGTGAAAGGTTGATCCCAAAAAGAGATGAATACATACATGTTAAAATAACACCCAGAGCTCCAATAGTAATACAGTGGTCCCTCGCTTTTCGTAGTTCTCGGCAATCGTAAATTTCGCCAATCATAGGGGTATTTTCGTATAAACATGGACTCGCTTTTCACAGGTTGACTCGCGAATAGTAGGTCGTCCGGGATGCGTACGCACGGTGTGAGCCAGGGCGGCCTCCCTACTCAGCCAGTCTGGCATTGTTTACCAGTGAGTGAAGGTCCTTTCAAGTGCTCCTACGAAATATTTCATAATATTCCACTCATTTTAGTGCTTGCAAATACTAAATAAGCTACCATGGCTCCAAAGAAAGCTCCTAGTGCCAAGCCTGTGGTAAAGAAGGTGAGAAATATGTACAGTGACATTTTAGGGAAGTGTTAAAGAGACGCCAGAAACAGAGTTCTCTCCACAGTTACTTTGTGAGACAGGACTAGAGTGACTCTCAAGGTGGTCCTAGTGGCATTAAGAAACAGAGAAGAGAAGCAACCCCAGAGAAGCAATTGGTACCTGAGGTGTTGCTGGAAGAGGATTCCCCTTCCAATCTGTAAACAATCCAATCTCTCTCCTCCTCCAGTCTCCCATACACTAAGAAGAATCTCCAATAAAGTTAAGTGTTATGCTGTTAATGTTTCATTCATCATTTCCCATTGTATTGCTTATGTACTACATGTATATTTCATGTAAAAAAAATTTCTGTTTTAATACTTCTGGGTGTCAAGAACGGATTAATTGTATTTACATTATTTCTTATGGGGAAAATTGATTCGCAAATCGTAAATTTCGTTTATAGTAGCTCCTCCAGGAACAGATTAATTACGAAAAACGAGGGACCACTGTACAGGATAATGAATATATTTATTTTCCACATTCAGATTACAGGTAATTTTTTAAATTAAATGAAAAGAATTTCTTCACACAATTTCATAATTCATTTAACAGAAAAATTTTAAACTGATTTTTCTATTCTTAAAATAACTGGAAAAATGTCTCAAATAGGACAGACTGTGTTGGAAACCTTGGCAGAGATGCCTACTCCAAATGGACACAAAAGTATGAAATATACAGAACCAGTGAGCAACCCAGCTACCACCCTTGAATACAGAGCATTTTTAACTATGAATTCTACAATTCTTGATCAATCTTTACCAAATAAATTGGAGTTCATAATATACACAAAACATGGATATACAGAAATATAACAATACATACTCAGTAGTGACAAAATATAGGAGAAAAAATAACAAATACAATTCAGCACTAATAAAATCATTATTACATATCTCAAGAATCATGTCTTTCTACCACTCTTCAACTCATCAAGAAAAAACTGCATGTAAACATAGATGGTGGTGATATCAAAGAAGCTAGTTTGATAGGTAAACCAAATGGGAAAAAAACTTTTGTTAAAATTTAGCTCATGCTCTAAAAGAAATGACCCATTACAGACATTCATAAGTATGAAATGTGATGTTCATGTTAATGAATGCCTTAAAAAAGAAAAGACAAAACCTTCTCTATAGACTAAGGCAACTCCATCTAGAGACAAAAATCCATCACTGCTTTGTGAGGAGATAAAACTGAATTAAGAAAATTAACCACAGGCAGGAGATACTGCATAGCTAATGAACATGATCTAACAAAATTCTTTGGTAACACAAATTTCTAAAATGGCTTGTGTCCCGACTAGTGATGGGACGAGACCAAATTTTTTGCTGATACCAGTACCAATACTCAATTTTAGACAGAGATCAATACCCTCAAAATTAGCTAATACCCACTGAAAGTTGTACCAATATCCAGACCATGAAAACTGACTGATAACCAATATTACTTATATTCAGTTTTAGGCTGATATCAGTACTGATACCAATATCATCAAAATTAGCTGATATCCATCAATACTGATACTTTGGCACACCACCAGTCTCAATCATTTTGGATGTTTAGTCCAACTGTGTTTTCACTGGTAAATAAAGCATAGCAATAACCATATAACTTTCCATTCAAATAATCCATTACAAGAACTACATGCTGAAACAAATAATAGCTTTACCACTAAAGCTTACACACATTTTCAAAGAAATGAACAAGTAATGACAGAATCATATATCAGGAAAAAATTACATACCTGGGGTGAGCTGAAGTAAACAAAATTTGGTGCCAGCCTTGATGGCCACAGGAGAATTTATAAGGCTAAGTGGTGGTGTTGGTGGGCACAGATGAGGTTTCCCCTCTGAAAGAAGAAATAGACATGTACAGTGCAGTTTTTTCCTTCACATTATGCAGATTTGTTTTATAAGATCCTCTGTTTCTATCAGTAATTCTATATATGCAGTATACAGTAGTCATCATTTACATAGTGCACTTAAGATTCTTATTATGAGAATTAATGTTTCAGGCCGTAAACCTGGGGAATTTTTCTTTTTTTTTTAAGATGTTTTGCCAACCAGTGGCTTTTTTTTAAAGTGGTGACGGTCGAAGATGAGGAAATCAGTTCCTTAGCCTTACCAAATCTGAGGGGCTGACTACCTCATCTTCTACTGTCTCCAGTTTATTTTCTCTATATTGAAATAAAAAACCCACTGGTTGGTGAAATGTCTTCAAAATAAAGATACCCAGGTGTTGCACATGTGACTAGTTTACCAATATGTTGGTACTATATACCATTAATGTAATAAGTAGTATCAACTATATTTTTTTTTTCAACAAGTCAGCCGTGTCCCACTGAGGCAGGGTGACCCAAACAGAAAGAAAATCCCCAAAAAGAAAATACTTTCATCATCATTCAACACTTTCACCTCACTCATACATAATCACTGTTTTTGCAGAGGCACCCAGATAGAACAGTTTGGAAGCATATATAAAGATATACTATAACATATCCCTCCAAACTGCCAATATCCCAAACCCTAAACCATATACTAGTTAGAATTTTATTCTTGCTTCAAACAATACAATATTATTATTATTATTATTATTATTATTATAATAAGTATTCTGAGTTCCATCCATCACTTTGTGTATAATTATACCTTTAGTAAATGCAACTTTCTTTATATTAGTAAGAAATTTTGTGCTTTCATTAAATCAAAATTTTTAAACTATAAAAATACAGACTGGATTTAAGGCTAATCTGACATACATGTCATAAGTATCTATCATGGTTATAACACCCAAGAGGAAAGAACAAAAAAAATTCTTAATACTGTTTTCATGCATTAAAGAAATTTTAAATATTTTTTTAACATACTGATCATTTCCAACCAATTCAAAGATCTCACGTTCATTTCTTTGTATTTTTCGTAATTATGATCAGCCACAAATGTGGTTTCATTTTAGGACATGCATGACTTACTATACTAAGGAAAGATTCTAATCCACTTTACCAAGCAGAATTAAATGATTTATTAATGAAACTTTTTTATGCTTACCCAAATCAAGTAAATCAATCGATGGCCAGGTGTTTGAAATTTGACGCCGATATGTAGCAACATTTTCCATTAATGAAGGTAAAAGAATATTCAGCTGACTATTCAGATTATTAACCGTTTCATTTAAACTCGTTACTCGGCCTAACTGAACATTCAGTTCTTCTGTAGATTCTGTAAAATAAGCTAGAATAAATACTGTAATAGCATCTGGATAAACATTACTTTAAGAATTACCTCTATTATATTAACCATGAAGCATGCAACATGAGTAGATAAAACACGGATGCAGTACCTCTATACAGTACGTATACCGTATTTCGCGGCTTATTACACATTTTTTTTTTCCATAAAATGTCTCCAAAAACCACCCTGTGTCCTATAAACTGAAGGTCAGTGATGGGAGCTATAAGTCTGGGGTGTGGGGTGGGCCATAGCTCTCCCAGTTACATCTGATGCCAAGCCACTGAAACTAAAAAAAGTCTTAAAAGCCGTGAAATACGGTAACTACCTCCATCAACACCTGTAGGGCAACCAGTTAAAAAAAAAAATTATTATTTACTCCCTCACAGCCCATCAAAAAGAGTTGGGAGACTCAGAAACAGTATTCTAAGCATCTTACGATACAACCTCACACGATGTCCGCCTATCACATATACTGCACATCATAAACTGAGAAACTTGGCTAGGAATGTAAGGATAAGACTTATGTCAGCTCCCCATAAACAATCAACAGAATTAAAGAGGTACCTGTAAGACTTTGTCCTCACCCAGATGATCAGCTACCTTTAAGACAAGTAAGTGAGCTACAGTAGAATTATTACCAAGACATAAAGTCTTTCTTCCTTTTAAGAGTTTGAATGGTTTCAGCCTGCATGGCCTTTCAAGCATTTGCCTGGCCCACCTCTGTGACATATCACACATCTCAACAAACCTACTGTATTTCTTGATTGTTATTAGACACGAATAAGGCAGATGGAAGCAGCAACAATCACTGGCTTACCAATGCTGGATTCACTGGCTCTAGGATGTGACCCATAACAGTAGTCTAATACCCAGGTATGTACTTATTACTGAGCTACTAAGTGAAGAGGGGCAGCAGACAAAATTACATGCCTGCATGTCTGTCCAAGCCTGGGAAGAGGACCCAAAACTTTTCAACTATGAGCAAAATGCTGGAATCATTAAACATGTCCATCTGTCAGTGAGTCTGAGCACGTCAGGTCAGGTAAGTCCAGTCGAGTTAGTGCATGTGTGTGTGTGTGTGTGTGTGTGTGTGTGTGTGCGCGCGTGTGTGTAAAAATAAAACAGTAAAACCTGAGCACTTTCATTATGTTTACACACATGCCTTCAGAGGAATAGGAAGAGGCAAGAGAAGCACATTTTATGTTACAGAGTGATGTGATACCTCGCTCACAGAAGATGACAACTCACTCAATCACACATGTGCTACCTCATTCAACAAGGCAACACCTCACAAAGTGAGATGGTAACTCAAAGTACACTGTTGGAGGCCTACTAGTCCATAATTTCAACAATAAATAATAGTAAAACTGTTTCCAATAGAACAGTAAATTGCAAATATGTCAAGTCTCTCAACAGATTAACACAGTCAGACAATGATGTCCAACCAGTAAGGCAGATAAAAGTGCACAGATAATTCAAATTAAGCATGTCGGACCATCACCCTAAAAATATAAAATTGGGAAGCACTGCAGTTAGGTCAACTGCCCACTCCATGAAGGTGACTCCAAAATCCAATCTCCCAAACTCATTCATCTGTCCAATTTATGTATGAAGCTTAAGACAAATTGTTCTTTTGACAAAGAACACAATATGTAATTTTGTGAAATATATTTTTATCTTTTAAGATTATGAACAATATTTGAGACTATAAAACTGTCAAGTTTAGAAATGCCAGACCTCAAATTTGAAATATGTTGTGCATCATGCTTAAAAAGTGATGATTCCACAATGTCGCTGAAATGCAGAATAATGTATAGAATTTCCTGATCTGCATTTCATGAAGAACTCCACTGAAAGCCTTCTTAGTCTAAAATTTAGAGAAATTGAATTTATTTATGTGATTTAAATGGCTTAGAAAACTGACAAGGTGAAGAATGACACACTTGTGCAACATTTGGGAATCTTTATTAAGGAAACATTTCTCAAGCCAGTGCCTTCTTCAGTTCAATACAGAGAAGAACGGTGGAAGACGAGGAGTACGATGTGCTCAGTCCATCAATCTTGAGAAAAGTACAGCATATGCTCAGAGAAGTGGCTTATATACTGCAATCAGGTGATTAGAAGCAGGAAGAGGTAAAATCACCATTGGACAAATCTATTAGTGCAAGTAGGTCATACCTGCAGGTTAGGCAAGCAGAGAAGAATTCCCTGTATCAAGAACCCAAGATGTTGCAGTGTCTCCTCCTACTCATCTTCCACCATTCTTCTCTGTAATAGACTGAAGCAGCTAGTGGCTGGTGAAACGTTTCCTCAATAAAAATTCCAAATGTCGTGCAAGTATTTCATTCTTCAAATTACCAATTTTATAAACCTACATCACATCTGTCAGATACTGCAACATCTTGGGTTCGTGATACAATATAAGACCTAAAAATCATGAACTGGATCATATCTTACTGGCAAAATCTATTAATAGTCTTGGTTTGTCTATACAGGTGTCCCTCACTTCATGCACCAGATGCATTTTGGTCCATGGTGCATAAAGCAAATGCAGTTTAACGTGTAATTTTTTTTTTTTAACACGTCAGCCATTTCCCACTAAGGCAGGGTGACCCAAAAAAGAAAAATCCAAAAAGAAAGAAAAAACTTTCATTATCATTCAACACTTTCACCATCACTCATATTTAATCACTGTCTTTGCAGAGGCGCCCAGATACGACAGTTTAGATAGTATCATTCCAAACTGCCAATATCTCAAACCCCTCCTTTAAAGTGAAGGTATTGTACTTCCCATTTCTAGGACTCAAGTCCGGCTAACCAGTTTCCCAGAATCAATTCACAAAATATTACCCTGTTCACACTCCAACAGCTCATCAAGTCCCAAAAATTATTCATCTCCATTCACTCCTATCTAACACACTCATGCACGCTTGCTGGAAATCCAAGCCCCTCGCCCACAAAACCTCCTGTAAAATATAAGGACATATTCTGAGACCTTGGCTGAACTGGCCCTAGACCTATTTATATATATATATATATATATATTATATATATATATATATATATATATATTTATATATATGATGAAGTAAAGGGTGTGATAAAAGAGAAAAAGGTAGCTTATGAGAGGTTTTTACAAAGCAGAAGTGTTATAAGAAGAGCAGAGTATATGGAGAGTAAAAGAAAGGTGAAGAGAGTGGTGAGAGAGTGCAAAAGGAGAGCAGATGAAAGAGTGGGAGAGGCACTGTCAAGAAATTTTAATGAAAATAAGAAAAAATTTTGGAGTGAGTTAAACAAGTTAAGAAAGCCTAGGGAAAGTATGGATTTGTCAGTTAAAAACAGAGTAGGGGAGTTAGTAGATGGGGAGAGGGAGGTATTAGGTAGATGGCGAGAATATTTTGAGGAACTTTTAAATGTTAAGGAAGAAAGGGAGGCGGTAATTTCATGCACTGGCCAGGGAGGTATACCATCTTTTAGGAGTGAAGAAGAGCAGAATGTAAGTGTGGTGGAGGTACGTGAGGCATTACGTAGAATGAAAGGGGGTAAAGCAGCTGGAACTGATGGGATCAGGACAGAAATGTTAAAAGCAGGGGGGGATATAGTGTTGGAGTGGTTGGTACTTTTGTTTAATAAATGTATGAAAGAGGGGAAGGTACCTAGGGATTGGCGGAGAGCATGTATAGTCCCTTTATATAAAGGGAAAGGGGACAAAAGAGATTGTAAAAATTATAGAGGAATAAGTTTACTGAGTATACCAGGAAAAGTATACGGTAGGGTTATAATTGAAAGAATTAGAGGTAAGACAGAATGTAGAATTGCGGACGAGCAAGGAGGTTTCAGAGTGGGTAGGGGATGTGTAGATCAAGTGTTTACATTGAAGCATATATGTGAACAGTATTTAGATAAAGGTAGGGAAGTTTTTATTGCATTTATGGATTTAGAAAAGGCATATGATAGAGTGGATAGAGGAGCAATGTGGCAGATGTTGCAAGTATATGGAATAGGTGGTAAGTTACTAAATGCTGTAAAGAGCTTTTATGAGGATAGTGAGGCTCAGGTTAGAGTGTGTAGAAGAGAGGGGGGAATACTTCCCGGTAAAAGTAGGTCTTAGACAGGGATGTGTAATGTCACCATGGTTGTTTAATATATTTATAGATGGGGTTGTAAAAGAAGTAAATGCTAGGGTGTTCAGGAGAGGGGTGGGATTAAATTATGGGGAATCAAATTCAAAATGGGAATTGACACAGTTACTTTTTGCTGATGATACTGTGCTTATGGGAGATTCTAAAGAAAAATTGCAAAGGTTAGTGGATGAGTTTGAGAATGTGTGTAAAGGTAGAAAGTTGAAAGTGAACATAGAAAAGAGTAAGGTGATGAGGGTATCAAATGATTTAGATAAAGAAAAATTGGATATCAAATTGGGGAGGAGGAGTATGGAAGAAGTGAATGTTTTCAGATACTTAGGAGTTGACGTGTCGGCGGATGGATTTATGAAGGATGAGGTTAATCATAGAATTAATGAGGGAAAAAAAGGTGAGTGGTGCGTTGAGGTATATGTGGAGTCAAAAAACGTTATCTATGGAGGCAAAGAAGGGAATGTATGAAAGTATAGTAGTACCCAACACTCTTATATGGATGTGAAGCTTGGGTGGTAAATGCAGCAGCGAGGAGACGGTTGGAGGCAGTGGAGATGTCCTGTCTAAGGGCAATGTGTGGTGTAAATATTATGCAGAAATTCGGAGTGTGGAAATTAGGAGAAGGTGTGGAGTTAATAAAAGCATTAGTCAGAGGGCAGAAAGAGGGGTTGTTGAGGTGGTTTGGTCATTTAGAGAGAATGGATCAAAGTAGAATGACATGGAAAGCATATAAATCTATAGGGGAAGGAAAGAGGGGTAGGGGTCGTCCTCGAAAGGGTTGGAAAGAGGGGGTAAAGGAGGTTTTGTGGGTGAGGGGCTTGGACTTCCAGCAAGCGTGCATGAGCGTGTTAG